ATCCCTTATTATGATTTTAATATAGTTTCGTCTAAGTTTCGACTGTTATTAAGGGGTTTCGTCCCTCATCATTAGTTATCAGATTTGTCACCGAAGTTTAATTTTAATATTGTTATTAATGCAAGATAAAGGATTTCAGTTATTAGTACCAGATAAATGCTTTCAATTTTTGCCATAAGAAATCATTAGGGAATCAGAGTGACAAGGTGGTTTAAAAGGTACCATTACTGAAGTCTTTACATTTCCTGATATATTAACTTGTCTTAAATATTGGATATTTTGTGTTGCAGAAGCTTAAGTTTGAGTTTAAGCTATAGTAGATATAGGCGAATCGTTATATACCACAACTTTTATTAAATTGTTAAACAACTTGGCCACTTTGTAGTATTTATTTCAGTATTTGAAACTAGCGATGTTTTGTTATAATTCATTAAGTAATTTTTATTTAAATTCCTTTTTTTTTTATCCAGATTGCAGCTTAAATATTTAAAATTTAAATAATTTTTAACAATTACTATATATATAAAATACTTTATCAAAAAAAAAAAATTTTACTTCAAAATTAATTTAATGCAAAAGTTACTAATTAATTTAAAAAACATTTTTAATTTACTTAAAAAAATTATACATTATATAATTAATTATATTTTTTTTTTGATAAATAATTTTAATGAAAATCCTTAAAAGGATAACAACATTTTTTAATTGTAAAACTACATTATTTTATTGTTTTGTTAGCAATACAGTATTATAATTTTTATATTTGAACTAAACTTACGAATTATTTATTTTGATAAATCGCTTTTAGACTTTATTTGTATATATTATTAAAAGCATTTTGGTGTACAGGCATTAGTAGTACCAGATAGATGTATCATTTATCTTGAATTTAACATGATTTTTAAATAAAAATGTTATAAACAATTAAAGTTTATCAGGTAGTGTAATAAGAATTGTTGGATTTGGTTAAAAAGTCATGTGAAAAATCAAATTTTTCTATGTAGACTCTACTCTTAAGGAACCATCATCACATTTTTCGCAAATGAGCAATTTCAATTACAGAGAAGAGAATAAAAGAAGAGTAATAGCAGTTGAAGATGCTATTCACCATCTCATACGGTGTTAGACGCAAATCATCTGTACTCCAGATGTCTAAGTTATTTTTCATAAAATGTAAAGTATTACATAATATATTTTTCATTACTTATCTTATTTTACTATAATAATTTTTAACCGTAATCATTGTAATGATTCTCTTATAAAAAATGGATCGAATGTTAACTCTATGAAAATATTTTGCGTCATACATACAAAGTTTATAAATGTTTTTACTGTGTATGCTTTTAAATTATTGTTTATTGTTATTATAAAAGATAAATATGAATACAACTTTTCTTCAGAAATTAAATTGGCTAATTATTATCAAATGGAAATTAATGTAACAAATTCAATTTTTCAAAATTTCAAAATTTAATTTTTAAAAATCTTGCCACTTTTGGTCTGTAAACTACATAAATTAAGGTTGCTGAACATAGTAAATCATATGATCCGTAACATAATTTTAATAGCAACGTTCCATATGTTTTTTTAACATTACGCCAATAAATTATACAATTTATAGATAATTTTGTATTATCTTCAGGGTTGCAACAGTAAATGCTATTTAATTTTTACTATTTAGTTTTTTATTTTTTATTATTTCCAATCTCTAACAACTAAAATTATAAATCATGATTCATCACTAACTATTAAAGACGCTATCGTTAATAATTTACAAAAAAAAATGAAAATTTAATCATAATCATCTGGAAAGCTATCTGGACTGAAACCGTAAAGAAGCCTCATTATTGGGTTGGCTATTTTTTCGAGTGATTCTTATTTATAATCATATTCGTCCTTATTCGCCTCTTGGTTTTTTTCAAGCTATATAATAGATTTCTGAATTGCATCTTTAAGTTTATTAATAGGAAAGTTTTCGTTCTATCGAATAGAGATGGTTTGGTTTTAAACATCTGATATATCATAATTTAAATATTAAACAAACTTACATCAATTGTGTTACATAATTTAAATGCATAAATTTCTAATTCATTTCATGCAAGTATACTTTGTTCACCTTTCTTATCATTTTCAAGATATTTCTCGCTTTCGGCAACTATTATTACACAGATTTTTGTTAGTAAATGGTTAATGCATAAATATTTGGTTATAAAATTTCAGAATTTTGATTACATGCCCATACGTTCGATTTCTTCCTTTGACAATCCACCTTTACCATTTGTGATTAACTTATTCGATCGTCCAGTAGATTTATCAATGGCAAATACCTACAATTAATCAAAGTTAATACAATAAATACTATAAACATGTCAATAATAATGATAATTAAATATTAATAAATATGTTTAAGATACTGTTTCCATCAATATCAAATGTGACTTCGATCTGTGAAATACCTTTTAGTGCTGGCTGAATTCCAGTTAATTCGAATTTTCCTAGCAAGTTGTTATCTTTAATATGGAAATGTTCACTTTCATAAACTTGAATCATTAATCCATGTTGATTATCAGAACTTGTCAAAATAATATCGTGTTTCTTAGTAGGTACTATACTATTATGTTTAATAATCAATGTCATGACTTTGCTGTCAGTTTCAATACCAAGAGATAAAGGAGTGATATCGAGATAAAGTACATCTTGAGTTATTTCAGAAGTATCACCAGATAAAATAGCAGCCCAACTAGCGGCACATTAGCCGCGGCTTTATCAGGATTTATGGATATGTTTGGTACTTTTACCATCGAAGTACTCAGATACCATCTTTTGAATCTTGGGAATACGTGTTGAACCACTGACCAGGACTATTTCATGAATTTGACTTTTGTTGATTTTAGAATCTCAAAGTACTTTTTCAATAGGTTCTATTGTAGCTCGAAATAAGTCTTGATTCAATTCTTTAAACCTGGTACGTGTTAAGGAGATATAGAAATCGATACCATTGAAAAAGGAATCTAACTCTAAGTAAGCATTTAATGATGATGAATGTTTACGCTTTGCATGTTCACAAGCTATCCTTAATCGATGACAAGCACGAGCATGCGTTGAAAGATCTTTCTTAAATTTTTGTCTGAATTCTTGTATAAAATGATTTACAAGACGATTATCAAAATCTTCACCGCCAAGAAGTGTGTCTCCTGCAACAGCTTTTACTTCAAAAATTCCTTCATTGATATTTAGAAGGGATACTTCAAAAGAGCCACCACCTAAATCATAGGTAAGAACGTTTCATTCTCCACAAGTTTTCTTATCCAAGCCATAAGCAAATAGCTGCTGCAGTTGTTTTATTCATTATACGAAGTACATTTAAACTGGCGATCATACCTGTATCTATTATAGCTTGGCATTGAGAGACATTAAAACAAGCTGATGTTGTAATTACGGCATTTCTAACTTGTGTACCAAGATAAGCTTCTGCAGTTTCCTTCATCTTTACCAAGATCATGGAAGAAATTTCTTCGGGTGTTAAATCCTTCTTTTCGTATTTGTATTCTACTTGAATACTGTATATGGCCTTTCATTCTTATCAATAACTTTAAATGGCCAGTGCTAAAAAATAAATAAAAATAAAAATAAAAAATGAGAATTATAAATGCATTGTAAGATCGTATCATATAATATTTACCTTCATATCAGATTGAACTTCCTGGTCACTAAACTTGCGGCCAATAAGACGTTTAACGTTATATACAGTATTATAAGGGTTCATATTAACTAGATTTTTGGTAGCATCACCGATTAGATGTTCCGTTTCAGTGAATGCGACATATGATGGCATCATACGATTACCCTGGTCATTGGCAATAATTTCAACTCTTTTATTTTGCCAAACTCAGACACAAGAATATGACATTCCTAAATCAATTTTAACTAAGTTTGTAAGAATTAAAAATTTAAACTTGCAAATATTCGTATTCAAAGAATTATTAATTAGATAAAAAAATAAGTTCTTCATTCAAATATATCCAAATGTAATAATGAACTAGCATTATTGAAATGAAACTCAAAAAGCGATAATATGCCTAAATATAAGCAAATTTAACATATAACCTGTTTTTGCTGTGCCATTAAACGCCCAAAATAAAACACATGATGCAAATCGGAAGAACACGGAGTTTTCAACAGGCATCATATGACAAGCCCAGATACTCATCATTATCCGTCAGTCACTTTAAAAAGATCATCTAATTACACGAAAACTTAAAAGTGATTACGCTATACAATTATGCATATAAATATTTAATGAAAAGAATTTTACAAGTTTCCAAATTAATATATAACCACTTGAATGATTTTTTTCTTTAATCGTTCTCTTTTTTCAATTATAAAATAAAAAAAAATGCCCTTTGAATGTTTGCAGGGAGTTTCTAATAATTATAAAAGGTTATTTGAAAATGACACAAGTTATAATGTCATTATTTTTGCCGATGAAAATAAAAACATTAAAGAATTACGTGCGCATTCAATTATTTACATTTTAGGTCTCAATATTTTTTTTTGATGAATTAACTATAACGTCGTTAAATAAATTAATGAAAATCAACAACTTAATACTCTAAATACATTTATTAAGTAAAAAAAGACGGCAATTGATTAGGAGCCGTGGTATATCCCTTCGGGTGACTGATATTTTTACCCCAACCAATAACTATTACTGTAATCAGCGATGACCTCTGATAAATATCCCGATATCGTATTTCATAATAACGTGTGAAATCACTTTTTATATGATGAAAATTTGTATAAACAAATATATATTTGAGGTACCAATTTTTATTTTCTTGTCTCTTTGTTTTTTATAATAATTTTTTATAAAAAAGCAATGTCTAATACAAAAGTTTGTGAAATAAATTAATAGTCTCGCTTTTACTGTCGAGGAATAGAGTACCCTATGCAATTACTTTTATGAAAATTCTAATTAAATAAATAAAGCTTTAGGTTTTATTGATACTTGCCAAACGCTTGGGAAGATTTTCTTAAAGACTGGTATGTTTTAAGAAGATAACGTGAAAAACTTTTGAATATTCGATGCTCATTAACTAATTTTATCATTTTTGGTCTCCTTATCACTTAGATAATATCGAGGTAAATACTTACGTCATATTAATTGGACAACATGAAACTATCACGGAATCTTTGCACTTTTTTCGTTAGTAAACTAAAAAATTTTCATCTTTTGCCTCTTTGATTGATTCTTCTATCCCTATCATGCATTTATACACAATTAGAGCAAGAACCATCTAGAAAGAGAAAATGCGATTATTCTATTGAACTCAATTATCCTATGGTATCTACCGAAGGACCAATTTTCCATTACAGTGGCAGGTTCGCGCTTCCCATACGAATGACAAATCTTTAACACAGTTTATTACGGAAAGTTCCATGAAAAGTCTTATATAATCCATGGACGATACCAAAGTGACAAAACATCCTTTTTAAATGCATTCAAGGAGTCACTCATTAAGAACAACATAGTTCCTGCGCATTTCGATATAATTGACTTAAGAGGGCACAGAGGAACGTGCATGATTTTTCAATTATTTATCACATCGCCTCTTTGGAAAAATCATTAACGAATTAGAGGTCGATAAATACTTGAATTCACTTAAAGATCATTTATATCTTCTTACAGACGAGTTCCAGTTTATCTTCAAATCCCAGAAACTCCAGATGGCGTCAAGTGATTTCTTTAAAACTCTCTTTGCCAAAAAAGTTATTATTTGTGTGACATTTTTAAAGTCTTAAATTTGCCGTACAATAATTATGAAAGCTCACTTGGATCTCCTTTTAACTAAGCCACCTTCCTCCCGATGCCATTCTTCATATTTGAAGAGATGAGCAAACTCTTTCTCTTATATGAAAAGTTCTTTGATGAAAGTATCCGTAGGGATTTACAGACAATCATTACACGCGAGTCCAGAATCTTTATGATTTTATTGAGGCTTTTTCACAATTTTCATCAGTCGCAATGGAGCCTTATATTGAAAGAAATCCTTGAACATTACCTGAATGGGACCCATATAAAGATTAAGGAAGTATTGCGAAATATGGATCAAACTAATTTATCCTAAGTCTGTGATCTCACAACAATTAAAGATGAATCTTGGGAAATGGATTTATCTAATCTTAGCGAGATTGAAGAAATTAGGAGTTTTCACAAAGTTTCTTTTATTAGCAATGTTATTTTTCGTGTTGTCTTCCAAATGGTCTGACCGCAAAGGAAATTTTGCCAATATAAGACGTGACAGACCCTCTCTTTCTGTTAACATATGGGAGGTTTGCTAATAAAATCGAGTTACGAACATAGTAAATCATATGACCTATAATGTGATTTTAATAGCAAACCTCCCATATGGGGGGGCTAAGCTATTAAAATCACCTTGTGGGACCCTACCAACCAAAATTAAGATTTTTGATTCATATTATTATATGGTATATGAATCTTATTTAGTTAAATTTTTATAGTTGATTATTTTATTTTTTTTTTTTTTTTTTTGGATTGGTTCTAGTGATCGGTATAGTTGATTATTTTATTAACAAAGCAAGCAATTAGTCTCTCATTTTTGTGTAACGTCAGTCAAAAATCTAAAATTAGAATTAGGAAATGATCGACATTATTTTAAAAAAGAATTCAAATCTTTTAACTTTACCATTATGATTGAATGGGAGAGTCTGGGAGGTATTTTATACCCCAGCAAATATTTTTTTTTAAAATAAATAATAAATATAAAAATTAAATTTTTTTAAAATTGAATTTTTCTAATAAAATTAGTGTAACATATTGGTTGGAAATGTTACTGTGGCGTAGCATTTTTTTAAATCATCATTTCTCAAAATCAATTTCTTATCCCGTCCCGTAAGGTGATTTTAATAGCTTAGCGCCCATATGCACTACACAATATCACGCCGGAAACAATCGTAGACGCACGAGTAAGAAACCTACATGGCCATCGGAGAGGGCCTTTCAAGCTGCGGTTTTTTACTACCAGCATCAATGAATTGCTTGTTCGAAGTAAAAATCCGGGTTCATGAAGCTCTTGGTTTGATGGTAATTAAAGATAACAAAAATTGGGGTGTCAATGAGTTCAAAGTTGTAAAAATTTCTGCAGCCGAATTTGAGGATCCAGTAAGACGGGCCGAAAAATATGCTGAATGCTGAATACTTTAATATGAGAATCTAATTTCTACTATAATGATGGTTCTTCTCCAATAGCGATTAAATTTTCAGAAGATGTCACCTATATTTTCATTCATTTGTAGAAATTTTATTACTGTATGCTTCACGCATAAATGATATAAATATAATGATCTTTTTTTATAATAATGCATGAGGGATAAAACATTTCATATTCCAATATATATATATATATATATATACTGTTTATTAACAAGAAAGGTCAAAATAACTTTTCACCATCAAGCATTGTAATGATAAATTTCTAAGCTTCGTTTCGTGTAAACAACAATAATTTACCATGCCACACGAGAAAAAAAATTTTAGAAATTTTGTACAACTTATATATCTATGTAAGTAAATCGGGTTTCATATTGGTTGATTGCTAGGAAAATCAGGTTCCGGGAATTTTTTAGCAAAATTGAGATCTTTATTGCATTTTAGTTTTTGATGTTATTAGATTAAAATGTAATAAGATCTTAATTTTAGTCAAAATTTTTTTCGGAACCTGATTTTTCTAGAAATCCTCCCAATATTGTCTGCTCTCTTATTTTGTTAGATAACTTGTGCGGACCTGTTATAAAAGAAGCCTTATGGAAGAGAAGTACTATGGGGAATTCTCCAAATTTTGGAAGAGGCAGGTATTGATCATTCTATGTATTTTACTTCGCTAATGTGATTAGGGTTTGCCCGCACCGCTAATTTGTGACTTCTCCTTCAAAAATGTTACGAAATGGCCGGCATTACGGCATTAAGGAACTAACTATTTGACAAATAAGGGCGTGATAAATAGTATTTCACTTACTATAATACTAAGTAAAAATGAAACGGAGGGATGTGACACTGGTGACAAAAAATATATCACATGAAATTTCGTGACATTTTGAAGGGTACACAGGGGAAATCCTAATTTGTAAGGTTGTGAAGAAAGTATAATCGACTCATATTGAAAATTTGTGATAAAAAGACATGTGAGATACAAAACAAATCGATAAAGTTTTGAAAAATAAGAATTGTAAGAATTATTTGTAACTAAAAAAAAAAAATAATAATAATAAAATAAATAAATGATGATTTTTAGCTATCGGGGCGCAGCGCCGAATCGGATAAGTATTTTAAAAAATAAAAGCCGCATTTTCGGGGCGCAAGCTTGAAATTTTTTTTTTCCATAATGCTATTAGCTATAAAAATGATAGAAACTTCTAATCTTGATCTAACCATGAACCGATACCTTTCCAAATAAAGTTAAGCTTTTAGGCATTCTTTTGTTATGCTAAAAACGAGCCGAAAATAAAAGGTTCCACGATAGAATTTTTTTAAATTAAAAAAAATTGCTTTATTTATGATGGCAAGATATAATTCTCTAAAAAATTAAAATGATTTAATATTTAGACAAAATACATATTATCCCTTGTGCATATTTTGGAAAATTTTCCGATTTACAATAAATTATATAACATTTTATTTAACCGTTATAATTATTTATTAAATACTAAAAAAATTTTTTTTTTTTGTACATAACTAACGAATTACAAAAAATGGGTCTAAAATGCGCACATCTTCTTGCGATTATATTCGCGTTTGGCGTGTTAGGAGCGATAATTTTAAGTTTCTTTACGGTGACACTCTCAAAGATAGAACCGGTACGAGATCGTTTGACTGGATATCCGACATGGCATGGGGTTTTTCAAGGTTTTTTTTTGTTTCAATCTCTAGATAAATTGATGATAAAAGGCTTAAAAATTAACACAATTATCATTCATTATTAGGATTTGATAGACAGAAAAATGACACAATGGGCACTTTCATAGCTGTTATAATGCTCGTGGTTGGTGTGATTGGCTTGAAACTGGTTCTCAATCCACCGGCAAAGCCCAGCCTTATCACTAAATTTTACACCGTTTCCGATGATCCTGATGATGATAACCAAGAAAGCGCCATTTCCGAAGTGTCAACAATTGGTTTCAATCTTTCACTTGTAACTTACGCTTTGGTTACATCCATTACAGCAATTGCAGGTGTAATATTTGATATAGGAAAGTTATGGAGTGCTATTGGAGTATTTCATAACACTATTGAAATCATTATTTTGCTCTTGATTGGAAGTGGTGGTAGAATAACAAACGTTTCATACTTTGTGTGGGTGCTAATTTATATCGTATCCACTGCCGGTATTTGCATCTTTAGTGATTTTCCGATAGATGCTCTCTTTTTTAAAATTCAAGGTTAGTGTTTTACAGACA